TCTATCTATCTATCTATCTATCTATCTATCTATCTATCTATCTATCTGGCTGGAGGTCACACCTGCTGATAGGGACACACGTGGTCATATATTGATGAGGGCTTATATAACAGCTTTGGTCAATTTACTTTCCCCCAGTTTAAGGTGAATTATGATGATTCAGGGCCTGAGTTTTGCTCCAAAAGCCTGGACCCTGGACTGGATTGGGGGGTGATTAACACTGGAAGTCCTTGCAAATGTCAGTTTTCCTGCGAGATCCCCTCCCCTTTCAATTTGTGTGTTCCCTTTACTTTGCTAACTGTCCCTGTTGTAAAAAAAAAAAAAAACCTGAGATATGACCAGCCCTTCTACATGTGATTAGATAAAGGCTGAAACAAACTGAACCAGAGCTTATGTAACAGTTTAGGTCGACTTACAAACCACTTTCCCCAGTTTAAGATGAATTATGATGATTCAGGGCCTGAGTTTTGCTTGAAAAATGTTTGGTTTGTTAGCCCGATTCTTTAGTTGGAAACCTGAGAATATACCAGACTAGACTAAAAGTACAAAAATAACATTTATTGGGTCACAGGCAAAGTATATATGACAAAAACATCTCTCTGGGTCTCAGTGTCCTATTGGCCAGTTACCTCTGGGCACGAACAGGCCAGGTCCTAATTCATTCAGATGACAGGAATGTGGTAACAAATGGTGTGTGTGTGTGTGTGTTGACCTAAAGGTGGATCTAATGCAACAGAGAGAGAAAAAGAGAGAAAAGAGAGAAAAAAAAGAGATAAGAGAATCTGTGGACACAGCCAGAGAGTTAAAAAAAAGGTAAATGAATAAGACAATCAGTCATTTACATAGATCATGTGAAAGCATACTATGCTAAAATGAGTAATTTTAGCCAAATCCTAACAGGTTACTACAGGAAACCCACCTTGTGGGCCTCATTACTCCAGAAAACAGGATTTTATTATCTTATTTGCATTAGCTCGGACTTTGACCTGAAACAGAAACGAGATAAAAAACGTTATCACCTTTAAAATGTCCTCACTGTGAATAACCAGTGTTCAGATTACTTATTGTATTCTGTCACAGCACATTTCAGCCTAAAGGAGCTAAAACCACAATCCCTCCTCTGTGTGGCTCATTTGGCTATTGTCTATTGTCCATATGGCCCGTTCACCAATGGGATGATGCGGTTGCCATGGCGGCAGGACGTTTTGCATCCTTCCCTCATGATGTCGCCCACCGTTTCCACCTGCAGTTTTCTCTATTTATTTCCCTTTGTGTCGCCTCTGCCTGCTTAAGTCTAAATTTGGATGATTTTTAATCAGTGCCGGAAATGTAGGACACAGTTTTGAGCCTTTAATGGCGGATGTTTGTGCCCCTTTTCCAGCTCAAAGTAGGGTTGTCAAAACTATCAGTACTCAAAAAAGTATCGATACTAAAACGTTGTATTAGAGAATCTTGATTTATTTATTTATTTAGTTGTTTATGATCATTAACATGACGTTAGCCTTGAATTTCTAGCTGCGGCTAATGGCTAATAACAACACGCCAACATTAATCAAGTCAAGGATGGATATCCAACTCCCCCACATCCAAGTCGGCCATTTTGATTAGGTCACCAATAGGAAGATCCCAGTCAAGAAAATCCTAATTGCTTCATGGCAATATAGACATTAATTTAAAAATAGTGAAATGAATCTTGCAAACACTGAATTAAACTCTGTACATAATATAATGTTAAAATAGTGGATGTTAAATAGGTTTGTACAATAAGTCCAAACTAGTTTAACCAGAAAATATTTATTTCTCACAATTATGAAGGGTGAAGGGTTAGGGTTAGGTTTAGATTTAGGTTTAGGGTTAGGGTTAGGGTCAGGGTTAGGGTCAGGTTTAGGGTTAGGGTTAGGGTTAGGGTCATTAATGTGGGCCACCATAACATCAGTAACAGGTCAGTTTGAAACCAAAGACACTAATCTGTCAAAATTCAGTTACATTTTGGGGTGTTTGTTTATATCCTTGTGGTATTGAATATTTTCCTGAGTATCGGTATAGAGTTGAACACTTTAGTATTGTAACAACCCTAGTTTCCACCTTCAGTTTTCTCTATTTGTTCCCTTTGTGTCGCCTCTGCCTGCTTCAGTCTAAATTTGGATGATTTTTAATCAGTGCAATGTAGGACACACAGTTTTGAGCCTTTAATGGCGGATGTTTGTGCCCCTTTTCAGCCCAAATACAGCCTCATTCAGCCCAGAGTTAAGGTCATTATCCCCATTAAGCTAGGTGGAGTTTCTGTTTCTGGGTTTGGGTCTTTAAAAAATTGGAAGTGCTCAGTTTGATATTAACTTTGACATTATTGTGTTATTGTATTATTGTTATTGTGTTATGATTGTGTTTTATTAATATAGGTATCAGCCTCAATAACTCATGGAAATGTATTTTATACTCTGTGTGTTTGAGGTTTTAGGAGAGTTTGGGTGTATTGTGTCTCTTTAAGGAAAAAAGGGGGCGGAGCTATCTGGGGGTCACCTGGGAAGTAGGAAGTGAGGAGAGACAGAAATGTTTGAAAAAGGGGGAAATGTGGGATGAAAAGAAGGAGGTTGTTTGAATCTAAAAGCAGCAAATAGTCCGGCCAGTTGGTGGTAGAAAAACCGAACAATATCGTTGGAAATAAGGACTTTAAAATAAAGGGGAAAAAAATGAGTCTTGGAGGTTTTATCTCTTTTTGAGACACATCTAGTTTATTAATTTTTTCCAATTTTTTTGGGGTGCAATGCATTGCTGAAGATTGGTTTTGGGACTTGTTTTTTTTAAACATTTTTGTGGCTTTTTTGGTATTTTGCGAGTTGACCGGTGTTGGATTTACACCATTGAGAGACTTTGGGGGGAAGAGGTGAATACTGGTTGTTATTTTGGACTAAGATTATTAAGAGACTTTGAGGGAAGAAGTAAATTGTTTATGAATTGTGTGATTATTGACAAATACAGTTGATTGTTTTGGGATAATGGTTATTTTTATAACATGTTGATGGGAGGTTTTCACAGATAAAAATTCAACATTGTAGGCCGAACGTATATTAGTAACATTTTCTCCTGACCAGGATCAGGGGGATTGTTACAAGAGGGCCAAGAGAAGTGAATAGTTTTAGTTTTTAACTCATTTCAGACGCATTGACCTAAAAAAAGCTGACGTCTCCAGACATTTTAGCAGTGACCTGTTTCACTTCTGGTCCCAGAGCTCTCCCACCTGCTGGGAGAAGCTTTCTGGGTCCCATTAACCAACCTGAGTCGGCTATTAAATATGCAAACACCTATGTTTTTCAACCTTTTTTGAGCCAAGGTACAGTTTTTCATTGAAAATAACTCTAGGCACACCAACCAAAAATGTTAAACAAATCTGTATCCGCCTATAGTAACACTATAGTTATTCTTATCTTATTCTTATCTTATCTTAAGTGTCTTGAATAGGAATCAAATAAACACAAACATGTATTTTTATCATATTTTATATTTCTTCTTTCAAATTGTAATTAACATGTCCACTTCAATATGCAAAATTATATACAAAATCTAGTCATAAGGAATTATTACATGATTACTCCACCAGTCACTATAAACAGTACAGACACTCAAAAATGGCATACTATTTGCAGAAAATGAATTCCTTATCAAAAATTTTTTTAGACCAATTAGGTGAAATAGGATGATTTGGTTGAAAAACATTGCAGTAGAGTGTCCAGTGTTGGTAAGATTGGAAGTTTTTTTTTCTTCTTCTGTGTGGAAAAAGGGAGGAAAGATAGTCAGGAATCCTTTATCACACACAGCCTCACAAACTGACTCAATCTGTTATTGGAGATGAAATTATGAGGTTAAAACAACAGCTGTAAATCCGTCTGCAGAGATTCGTTACAGCCCCGTTGTGAAACGGTTTTTATTAGTTTGTTTTAGAGTCGGCTTCCCTAAAGAGCACAGAATTGCGTAATGTTGCTCAAAGTCGGCCTCAGTGGTTTTAGAGCAGGAATTCAGCAAAGTCTGAGTTGAAAAACAAAAATAAAGATGAATTCTGGTTACAAATGGCTCTGTATTAGTCCCTTTCTCTCGTTATTTATTAGCATTTCTAGTAACAAAGACTCTTAGATATTTGTTAGTGCTTGTTTAACTTTAACTAAAAAGTTAGAAACTTTTCATTTTAGCCAGGTAAGGATGTCCCGATCCATCTTTTTTTTTCACTTCCGATCCGATCCCGGCCTATCAGAGCATGTGTTAAAGTTTAAAGTTATTTATCTACTTACTTAGTTGTCAGACTCATGTTGAACAGGGATTTACTCTGATAACAACTCAATGGTTAGGACACAGACCTGTGGGTTACAGATGCTAATGCTAACGCTAATGCTCGTGTGGGTTTGGACTTTAAGGACTTTAGGAGTTGGTATTCCATCAGTCAGTCTCCAAATGGCTATTTTAATTAACAGATTTTTCTAATTTCCTTTTATAGATGATGAAATATGTCTCTGAAAATCTTTCCAGTCTGTGTGTTTGTGGTCATGGATACGTAAAGCGTTTTCAGACTTTCAGGCTATCGTTATAAAATTTATATTTCAGTTTTTTTTGTACCCCAAAGCATAATTTTTCCCCGTTCAGGTCACGTAAAGACAAAGGCGACAAAGGCTACACAAAGGTAGAGAAGGACAGAGAGAGAGAGAGGATGAAAAATGCCAATGATATTGATAATAATGACTATAAATATGAAGGGGTAAAAGTTTTACTGTGTTTAGACTAAAATGCTTTCGTTCTGAGATGAGATGAGTCTGATCTTTGGTTAGAATAACTTTAGAAATGGTGACAGTCTTCTTTAAATACTAGGATAAATCTACTTTTTAATGAATCCACGTTTCCCTTCTAACATCAGCATCTATATACATTTACTCCTCTCACTATTTTTTATTTGCCTCTTTTGTCCCTTTCAAGTGAATTAGCCTCAAAGCTATTTTTGTCTTTTCTGTGGCAAATGACACATAAACTGTCTAAGAATAATTAGCACCCCACATCAGGAGAATTAAGCTGGATCTGCAGTGGAAATTTACAAGCTGTTATTTATTTATTTATTTATCCAGATAGGAAACTTCTGGGTGGACAGGTTTGAGAAATGGGGATTTTTTCCAAAAATGTGACTAGTATGAGGGTGTTTCGTCCCACAGTGTGCATTGGTCTTTTTTTTTTT